ACTATTCACCATAGCTTTTTTTTCACAGAAATCTTAAAGTAGCTAATTATGTTCACTGTGGCTTTCAGATCAAAAGCCTTCAGACTGACTTCGTGAAGAAGCTACAGGCATTGGATCAGCATGGTTTTTTTTCCAAGAAGTTGCTCTGCTTGGAAACGACTGCCACTGCTTGTATTCTTACATTATGGGGCAAGGTCTTTTTTTCCCCCAGTTTTATTTATAAGATAATTCCAGAGTCTGGGAAGGATAACTAAGACATACAAGCCTGTCACGTGCAATTAAATTACGTACGTTATGCAGGGTTCTGCACCTATTTTGGAAAAACTGTGACTCTTAAAATTGGAAAAAGAAAAAAGAAAATCACTGCTAATGTGTAGTAGTCACTTCAGCAGTACTGTCAACATGTAACATGTAACAATACTGAACCATTAGAAGAATGCATTAAACTTAGATGCATTTCTACAAGCACTAAAATGGGAGTGATTAAGCACTGGAACAGGTTCCCCAGAGGTGATTTGCAGTCTTTATACTTAACTGGATAGGACCTTGAGCAACTTGACCTCTAGGCTCGTAATTACCCTTGCTGTGAGCAGGAGGTTGCACTGGAAGAGGTACAGAGCTCACATCCAGCCAAAGTCATTTTATGAGTCTTTGATCTTTGCACCACACGCAGTTGTCAGCTGTATGAGAACACTACAAAAAACATCCTGATGGGTCTTGAAATGCTTTCTGTCCTGGTGTATACTGAGGTGGCTGAACATCCTCTTACGGCCTTAATCTTGCTGCAGCTCTTTGCTGTGACTTTTGGCCCACTATGTTTTAATGTCTGTAGCTTCCTGTAATTTCTTAGCTTTTCACAATCCATGTCAACTATAAGCAATCTAGTGTGATGGCTCTTTGTTGTAATGAGATGTGCCATTGTCTCTATTGGCTTGCTTTGCTGTTTTTGAGAAACACTGAGTTACAGCAAGTCATTAACATGACAGGCTACTGCAGCAAATGTTCATATCAGAAGCTGATCAAAGTACACAGCTATCTGATATCCAGCTGGAAACTATCCGTGTCTGTTGTGATCCCATTCTACACATGCGATGACTAGCTATGGCTACCTTTTGCAGGCAGAAGGTGTTTTCATGAGCCTTTTGTTGATAGCACACATCCTGTAGTATGTGTGTCTGAGGATGAGACCAGCTCTGCCAGTGAGGCAGCCGATGTACAGCTGACACCACCAGACTTATTGCTTCATAGTTCATCAGCTTGAGGGGTGTGACAAGTCCCTGGAATCAATGGCATGTCCTCCAGCTGGAGGCTGACTGTTGAAAAAATAAAGGGAACTGAGGAGGGTTGATTCTCATCTTCATGGCCTGTCAGTTGGTGGGCTACCTTATTTCTTTCCCGTATGCACCTTTTCCAAATGTATAGATACATAAATCCTCACCAAAACTGTTAAGCAAAGTAGTGCCAACTTCAAAATCCTCCTCATGAAAGTAAAGTAAAAACTTTAGATATTAAGTAATAAATCAACTTTATCTCAGAAAAAATGCACTAACTATATGTTGAGTATTTAATGGCAGTCCATTCAGTTCTGTCTAAAACTGGTGGTGTGACCTCTTGTGAAGAAATATTTACATAGAGTTTTAAATAACCCATACTTTTAAATGCAACATCCTCTTCAAAAATGCTGTGAGAAACGGGGCTGGGTATATTAATTGGCTTCAAAATAGACAAAGTGAATGCTCATTCAGAAAATGCCATAGAATGCTCAAATTATGATATTTGCGTAAATGTTCTCGGATGCTGCAATTCAGCAATTAAAGTCAATTTTTTTTAAAATTAATTGAGGTGGCTAGGCTTCATAATGAACAGCAGTAGATGAAGTTTATGTTTCATATCTTTTTTTCAAGTTTTCAATTTTGTTGATAAGTTTTAAGTTTCCAAAGGCTGTGTATGATTTCATATTTTTGCCACCTGTCTTCCAGAAGCTGAATAGCATAAAGCAGGGCACCACTGGTCAACATGATAAAAATGAACAGTGGCTGAAGTAAAATGAGTTAGATTTTATTGTTCTTCTCCCCACAAAAATACACCTTGTATTTTTTCCTGTATTGTCCTTTTAATTAAAAAAGATAGTGGTGTAACAGTAGAATTTGTAATTACATGTTCTAACACCTATTTTCCATTCAGTGAAATTGTTCTCTGGTAAATTAACTGGTAAATTAACCTCTACTCATAGGGTATCCAAGTGTACATTAACTCTATTAAGATTATGCAGAATGAAGACACACTCTTTTTGTGTAATATTCTCCTGTCTACTCATGGGGTAGGTGCTGGTTCAAGGTTTTATACGCAATCATTGAGTTACGAGAGTTACTGGTTTACCCAGGTAATCCAGTTGGTGCTTTTGCTGGTAGATACTGTAGAAAGTAATGCATAGGGAGCCCTTTCTTGAGACAGATCACTGTCTTCTGTGCCTTGAATTCAAGTTGCATAATTCCTGCCAAGACCACCCATTTCAGTGGGTAGTCCTGTTGCATGGAGGTTAGTGGAGCTGGACTTGTTTTGGAGGGTTGAGAAGTCTTCTTGCACAGACAGTGGGATAGTTGCTGTGGTTGAATGTGATACCTTCATTACAACTGTAGAATGGCCCATCTGTGCTTCTTTTTGTTGCCTCCTGTCTACAAGATTATCAGTTTGACAATGAGAAGGTATTGGAGAAATGAGAGAAAAGGCTGTTAGCAGCAGATTTGAACAAAACCTGGCCAGTTGTGCCCAAAATTAAGTCTTTGCCTGTTGCAGCATAAGGGGAAGAATGGCATCTCTTACACCTGCAACTTAATGTCAGCTAACTGTTTCATTATGGTAGTATGGCTAATTCAAAGGTCCCTTTTTATTCATCTGGTAAGTCCAGTTATGATTAAGTTATTTGTATTACTCTGTAGGTTATACGGAGAGAAGTTTTACTCTACTAAAAGTTGTAGAGCATCTGGAGAGGCAACTGCAAAGCTTTCTTTTCATCAATCAGTCATGCTTTAACTTTTTCTGTACGTTACCAGAAAGATTAGCAGACAGTCTGACAATTTCTGAAGAGGTGGTTGCAAAGAGGAACAGAATTATATCTTAACTTGGGAAAGGTATATCACAGTTCCTGGGCAGAGGTTATAAGGCTTCCCCAGGGAGCAGCTGTCAGTCTGGCTAAATTGCTTTGACTCTTATTTTAACAAAACTGGAAGGTTTGTTTCAATTAAAAAAAAAATCCCATAAAACTTAGGTTATTCTTTTGTTTATTTTAAAACAGTTGAAAAGTGTGACATGGGTGATACTGATATTTAGTAGATAATTTTATAATGCAGCAAGACATGCTGCATTCTAGATGCCACCTGTTTTGGCATGTAGTCAGTATTGATGAAGGCAAAGTATTGCTCGTAGTGTGGGTGGGAAAAACCTAATATGGAGCCCATTACTCTGACTAGATATAATCCCTCCAGAAGGGTTTTGGAACTCTAACAGAGCTATGAAAACATCTGCTTAATGTTCCATAGTGAAAAGGGAAATAAAACTCTCTGATTTACAGGGAAAGAAATAGAGAACAAAACAGAAAATGGTATTATTGTAACCCTATGTTCAAAAGGCTAACAAACTGGATTCATACAGCATAAGTCTCGTCCCCAATTAAAAAAGGTTGTAGTAGGACTAGGTAAGATCCATGTGAGAGTGACAAGGCTAAATAACTTGTAGAATGATTTTTTTTTTCATACAAGAATGACTTAAAACAAGTATCACTTCTAAACAGAACATATGGAGCAAAGAAGTGTAACAAATGCCTATAAAAGCGTGTGCAGCATGGCGAGGCAACTATGAAACCGTTGACACTGTCTCCTAATGTAAGAACAAGGGAGGGACAGTCAGCTGAATCTCGCAGGTGGCAAACTTTTATCTAAAAGTAGCTAACTACTCACACAATGCATAAGTGAACTGTGAAATACAATCCTGCCCAGCGTTGTGATGACCAGACATTCATGGGTCTGAAGGGTGATTAGATGAATTCACAAAGGAAAAATCCAGCAGGTACTGTAAAACACGTATGCTGGCTCAGGGGAGCTTTGAGCTCTAACCTGCCAGTTGCTGGGGGTATACTCCCATAGTGTAACGATGTACTCTTGTATTCTTATCTAGGCATGTGGTGCTGTTGGAGAATAGATCCTGAGCTAGATAGCCTCTGGTCTGCCCCATTTTTTCTATCCCACAGAGCCTTTAAGCTTTGTGTCCTTATGACTTGGCTGCTAAATAAATATTCTTCAAATGCTCAATTTTCATTCCCTCATAGGACGCTTAAGGTAGGACACATGTATTCTAGAAAATAAGCTGAGGAACATTCCCAGTGACTGAAGCAATCTGGTGTGGAATAATTAAAATTTCTCAATTTGAAAACAGGACGATTTCAAGTTGCCAAATGGGAATGAGCCTAACTCATGTGAATTCTCAAACCATGCCCAAGAATTTTAGGAGTTTGCTAGTTGACATAGGCTAAAATCATGCCAGAGACCATTTGAACAATTAAGCAGTGTAGACAGTTGCGTTCCAGTACCTAGGAGTGTTTCCAGGCACGGTGTAATTTACAGTTCTAGCCTGAGTATTGCATTTCTATCCAATTTGAAGTACGGAACAGAAAGAAATTTAGTTGCACAGTAGGACTTCGCTGTGTGACCACCATAGTTACTGGTCTGCCTCTCACAGGCAAAGTCTTCTTGCTGATTTTTATGAGCAAGAACAAAAAGTTCAGCGGGGTTCTTAAGCTGTCTAAATCTTGCGTAGAAGTGAAATCCTAAAGCGTAGAAGTGATTTGGGGTCATTTGAACTTCACTGTATTACCACCTGGGAAATGATCAAAGTTGCTGCCTGGAACAAGGAACAAAATTAAGAGATGCTTTGATAAAAGATGACATGTATAATTGGTGAATTTTACCTTAAAAGTAATAGTGACCTTTTCTTTTTAGACTATGTCTTCAGCAGTTGTTCAAATATATGCAGCAGATCGCAATGCCATGTGGTCAAAGAAATGCTGTGGTGTAGCTTGCCTTGTAAAGGACAATCCACAGAGGTCGTATTTTATCAGAATATTTGACATTAAGGTAAGCATCTTTTTTTCTTTTTCAGACTCTTTAAGCCTGGTTGCATTCATTCTCTGTTTGAATTGAATGAGTGTAGGTTGTGGTAGCTACAAACTCATAGAAATTCTAAAGTAAATGGTTGTGCTTTAAGTGGTGCAATTACAGTGCTTATTAATAGGCAAGTGCAACTTTCTCAGGTATTCTAAATTTAAATTATTACATAGATGTTAGCTTTTATGGATGAAATAAATGTCAGATACAATTTTCTTACAGCTCACAGAAGCTGTCCTCTACAGATCTTATTAGTCAAACTAGTGAAAGTTAGTATAATGTCACTGGTATGCATAGCTGTCAAAATTCTAGTGGCTGTCACTAATTTGGGTGACACTAACAAAATAGATGCTGTCTTCTGTACAGGTGGAAACTACAGGACAAACAAGCTGTGGTTTTTTTGGTTTTTTTTTTTTTCCCCTTCACAATATGTACATTCATACTGAAGATCTTTGTCCTGTTATAATATTTCATTCAAGACAGTGGGGAGTAAGAGATGAAGTGTCCAAGATGTGTTTTCATAACAAAAATGATACTGAGAATCATAAGTCCTACTGACTTTGAGACTTTGGAAAGCTTTCCATTATCTCTACAGCCAGAAACAGCTCTTTATTCTGTCAGCATTCAGTGCTTGAAGTCTCTCAGATTTGTTCAGGATTGCCAGTTAGTGCTTGTGTTTGACTTCGTGGTTTGGTCTCTTGACTGTTAGACTTAGTGAGAAACCTGTTTGTTGGGTGCTGAACTATAATAACATTTAAATATATGAAATTTCTTAAAAAGATGACATTTTTGTTCCCTTCAAGTTAACTGTTTGCAAGTCAAGCCTGAGGTAATAATAGGAGATTGGAAGTCTCCTTTATTGCTATTGCTCTTATCACTATATTCCTATCACTGGTTGCTATTGCTGCTCCCAAAAACTATTGTAGGACTGTAGAACTTGAAGGATTTTTTTTAAAACATCCAGGAATTTGAACAGAACACAGTGACCTGATGGAATAGTCTTCCACAGATCTTCCATGAGTTCCGATATATTTCGATTTAGATTGAGCTTATTTGTTGGGTTGAAAACAAAATAGATGCTTAACACCCTACAGCTTCCAACTCTTATTAGGTTTTACTGTGAAAGAAGTTAAACTCTGCAATTTGTCTAAATTTTTCAAAATCTTTTTTTTTCTTCTTTTCAGGATGGGAAATTATTGTGGGAGCAGGAGCTGTACAATAACTTTGTATATAATAGTCCTAGAGGATATTTTCATACCTTTGCTGGCGATGTGAGTCTCAACATCTTTGAATACCTATTTTTAAATGCCTTTTATTTGCACAGTAGCTTCTTTTAATATAACTGAGGGTTTTATTTAATTCTGTAAATTACTTGTAAAAGTACAACATTACCTGTGTTCCTTGAAGCTTTTTGAGCTTATTTGTAAAATGATTATTTTTTATCGTATCTCAACTAGAAAACTTATCCCATAGGACAGAAGCATAAAATAGAGTTCTTTATTTTCAACTTCCTTTAATGGAATTACATTTCGACTTGCAGATGATGTTTGTGATATATCATATATTCTCGAAGTACAAATTTTCCTCTCCCCTCTTTGGTTTCAAGCTACAAGATTTTGCTCAAATTTGTTAGCCGTGATCTCTAGAAACTTGATTAATAGACAGACCTTCCTAAGACAGAAGCTTCACTAAGACTTGGTTCCAGATTTGCAGTGATGATTTTTTTTCTGATTATACCTTCAGAAGGTGTAAGAAGACATTTAAGAAAGCCTTTGAAACGTTTTCTTAGTCATGGGTGGGGGAATATTAATGTTTTTCAGACATGTCAAGTTGGTCTTAATTTTGCTAATGAAGAAGAAGCTAAACTATTCCGCAAAACAGTAACAGATTTACTTGGACGACGGCAGAGAAAATCTGGTAAATATTCAAATTAATCTTAACTTTAGGCTTGTCTATGTTGTTTTGGGGGGAGGCAGGAAGCTACTTCTATGTCTGAAAGCTACTGGAGGCACTACAGCCATATTTACATTTAGAAGTAATATTAAAGCATCCTTCTTTATTGTGCACAAATAATATTTTTCTGAAATAACTTAACTTGGTGCTCCTTGCTGTAAGTTTCCTTGTAAGCTGAGACTCCAAGGTTCTGGTGTTTGAAAATATAGATCAGGAGGAAGCAAAAATGGTAAGCTGTCAGTGGGAAAACTAGAAATCTTTCTGTAAGCTGTTTTCACATTTGACTTAACTCTCAGCTCTGGGCTGTTTATAACTGATTTGTTTAAATTCAGCCCAAGTGGGTTGTAACAAAGATTTTACCATCTGGTATGTTCAGTAGCTCATGTGAATGAGCTTTTGGTATTGGTTCAGCATTTAGTAGAGAAATGTCTTTTATTCAAAACTAGTCAACCTGGCAGAGGCCAAGAACAGAAGACATAATGTGCCTATATTGTCCTTAGCAGCACAGGACAGTCTGAAGCACAGCGTGCTTTTTGCCAGCTGCAAGATGCCTTAGGAACATGGTCAGTGTTTTAAAGGGAGCTCAGGCTTCCTCAGATCTTGTCTTGGTCCTTTTCCAGGGAGCCCATAAACAACTTGCCTGTCTGACAACCTTTTGTCTATGAAGAATAAGGTGATAAAAAACATAGGCTGGGAACACATTCATGTGCTTAGGCTTGCTGTAAGCTGTAGCATGGACTTGTGGTCAAGCTACAGAGTCTGTTTGTAGTCCATTCTGGAATTGAAATGCACTAGGAAGTGTAGACCAAGATGAGGGCTTCTTCCCTGAGCATTAGAGTGCCATCCTTGCAAGTATTCTTGGGAACCTACATGATCTATGTGCATTCACTTGGATTTCATTCAGTTATAGTGACTTGGATTGCAGAGCATTTGCTCCAGAAGCTTAAATGGCTTCTTTAAGATTCTCTCTGCTCAGAATTAGGGTAAGTTCATAGGGTTTCATGAGAAGAAGTGGAGTCATTAAGTGGCTTCATTAATGTTTGTCATACTTGTTGTGTAAAAGTAATCTTGCATCAGCTTGCACCTCCTGTTCCTGAAGTTTCACACTGTTACGTGTGTAAAACCCAGTGCTGCAGTGCACAGACATGATGTGGGAGGAAATATTTTTGCATCATTGGCCACAGCAAGCTTTCTTTGAAAATAGTGGTTCAATCAGATCTCCAGTTCAAGGATAGAGTTCCACATAGAGGGTTTTTTTCCACGGAGCAACATAAGTTTTTCTTGTTTACTCTTTGAGCTAATAACTTGGTTTGTGTGCTCAAACTCATGTTGTAGGATGAGCTTACTCCACATGTTGTCTTTTAACAAACAACTCTCCCTCCCCAAACACTTACAACTTGAAGACAACTTTAATTAAAAACAAACAAAAACCAAAAACCCCAATCAAAAACAAACCAAAAAAACTCCAAGGTCTTTTTTTTTCTTGTTAAGAGCTGCAAAATAAGAATTGAAAACAATTATGAGATTCCTTTGTCAAGCCACCAGATGGAGTTCTGTATTTGTCATTGATGCGACTATATCTAGTTGTGCATCTAAAATAATAGGCTTTGCACTTGCCCAAGTCAAAGCTGATTTGCTGTTGGTGTTTATAATAGAAATGCTTATGTAAAACATATTTATATTATATATAAATCTATGTATAAATTAATATTATATATAAAAATTTATATTATTTATAATGTGTATATATAAACGGGGGGGTGTGTATTCTAATGCATCTTAACTTCTCAAACACAGAGATAATAATCTGGTAGTTTTGATGCTTTTCTATTTTAATGAGATTTTTACTCCCATGCTTTCCAAAATCTGTTTCATTTCATAGCAATGCCACCTGACACACTTTCAACTGAAATGAGTACTCCATGTGATCACTTAGCAGCCTGTTATACCATTCAGGGCTTGCTAAGAGACTTTTCCAGGAGTCTTATGGAAAGCTTATGTTGTTGGAAGGTAGCAAGAACAGCAGTTCTGGCTCACGAAACTATGTCTTGGTGCCGAGACTAGTACACAAAATATTGTCTGACAGCTGCAAGAAGAGGCAACAGTATTCTGCTCTTCCTCACTCGGAATGAAATGCACTCCAGTGTACAGATAACTCCTGAGTAAGTGCATCTGGAGTTCCAGAGAGGTGAAAGTTTAGCTCCAAATAGAGAACGTACAAAAGCTTGCAAATGTACAGAATATCTAGTAGAGAATAGAATGAGGGAGAAAGAGAAAGAATTATTGATGTGTTGTCTTAATCTTTTTAATATCAGGCTGGTTTTCATCTAGCTAAATTCTGATTTTTAAAAAATTTTGGGGTCGTGGGTTTTGGTTTTTTTAGTCAACTAAATTCTTAACCTTAGGTTAGGAAGAAATTACTATAATTATTTAATTTCTCTGGAAGACTTACTTAAACAACCTCTCCATTTACTTCTTAAACCAATCTTAAACCAAATATTTCCCTCAGTACGCAGGGTGAACACAGTGTTTCTCTTGTTGGTGCTTGACAGTGTAGTACACTCTCACTTTGAGTATCCTTGCAGTAGGTACCATTAGCTTTTATTTTTGTTATCTTGCCTCAGAAATGTTAATGTGTGTACACACACAAGTGTCCTCTCCACATGCTGAGCACTTAGCTGTAAAAGGGCAGCAGAGACTGGTAGAACAGAGTCTTGTTCTTAACTGCCTTTCTGAAGTAGGAGGCTTCTTGACTAATTTTTATGGGCTGCTTGTAGCTCATGGGTGGGAGCTCTGTTATCCCTCTCTGAAGCTGCCTTTTTCCTCCACAAGTTTTTAGCTCCTGGTGCCCATCCTAATGCACTTCATCAGCTTCAAGGTGGATACCTAATATGGAGAGCTTTTTGCTGCCTGGCAGACAAGGGCATCTCTGAATTGCTCGGCTTGCATTGGATTCAAGTCTCAGCAGAGATCATTCTTGTTTCCAGGAATAGTTATTGAAGGGAACTGTGTTTTTTGGATATAGGCAGCCGGCGAAGTTGATCTGTTTTGGATCAGTAGGCATCTTCATTTTCAAGAAAGGAGAAATACGCCAGTCTCCATTAAAGTCATCTGCACTTCAGAACAGGAATTCATATTTTCTAGTCAGCAGTGGGAACCACAGAAAAACAGATCTAGTATCTTTGGGCCACAAATTAATCTTTTATATACCCAGCAAAAATTACAGGAAGTGTTTAAAATGGCTTGCTTTGTTTTCCACTATCTTTACTCTTGAACTCTTTCTTCTAATGAAAATTGTAACGGACTCCCATGATTTGGCCCAAGGCCACTTAACACTTCCCATGAATACCTCAGGCTTTTCCCAGCTTCCCATCCTATGCCAAATGACTTGCAATCAGTCCTGCACTCTCCTTTGCTGTCTCTGTGTTGTTGAATAAAACTCTTAATTATGTTCCAAAGTTGAGTTTGGGTTTGGTTGAGTTTTGATTTTGGTTTGGTTGGGTTTTTTGTTTTGTTTTTGGCAGTACAACATCAGTGGTTTCTTAAACTCAATAATCTAGGAAGAGAAAGCACAGTATTTGGCAAAAAAGCCTTTTTTTCTTTTTCCCCCCTCCCCTCAGACTTGATACCTTTTGCTGAGGCACCCTTGCCAGAGGTTCTCCACCTCAGTGCCTAAAACTAACCTGCTGCGAGCAAAGAAACAACTGTCTGTCTTTAGAAGTCTTGCTCAGCAAAAGTTGATTCTCAGGGGGTTTTGATCACCTTCCTCTGAAGGTTTGACCTTGACAAGTTCTTTATTCCTACCTGAAGATCAGCTGACAGATATGAGGCTGAGTTGCCTTGCACACTTAGGATTGTAGATTTTTTTAAATATTGCTAGGACAAGGTCAACACCATCTGTGGAGGCACCTTCTCCCCCTTCCCCTTATGTTTGTGTCTGGAAAAATATAAGAAGTTAGCAGTTTTTCTGGGACTGCTGAAAAGTGAAATGTCTGTTACAAATTTTTACTACAAAACTCTTGGGAGTCCCTGTTCGATTTTGTATACTCCAGATCTGAAAGGGAGGGATGTACAGCCTTCCTTCTAGAGATATGTTTTTTTAATGTGGTGAGGTGACAAACTGCTTGCCTATATGGGTACTGCTAATTCCAAAATTTAGAAGAGTGTATGTGTAGGTACACAAATAGTGTAACTGTGTACTGGGGGTTTTGAAGCATGCTTGCAGGTAAATGTGGTAGATAGGAACTAATAGTAAGTGAGGAAAATCTCCTTTAAAGGAGAATTTACTATTATAGGCTGAGAGTACTGAGGTGTGAAATGTTTACAACCACAGTTTAGATCATCAAGACAAATTCATCATGGTCTGTGAAACAGTTTGCCGTTGTGAATAGAATATCAGACTAGTACTGAGGAGATTCTAGTTCTGTTCCATGTTATTGGGTTATCTGTTGGATAACGTAGGTGAAGTGTCTTGCCCCTCTGTGTTCTGTTTTCTCTGCGTAAAACCAAAAATAATAATAATATATTTTAGGTTCTGTGGGAGAGCAATACTGTATAAAAGTGCTAATTACATTTCAAGTAAAAAGGAAGGAACAGTCTTATTCAGTGGAAATCAGAAAGCATAACGCATCGAAAATCTTACTTTGATAGGTTGTACCAAAAGAGCTACTTTTTGAATGTTTCACCTTATTTTGGAGTCAAAGGTCTGAAACCAACTCAGTAGCTATTTCCTTATGCTCCTACTCAGTTTGCTCATTTGAAATTGGTGCTTATTATCTAAGATTGGGTTTTTATTTTTCTGTAATGCTTTGTTTCAACTGCACAACAAGTAGGCTTTAAGGATTTTAATAGATTCTTAAGTTTGAGTTCAAGGTCATTGAAAGCTTCACTAGAAACTAAAATTCAGAATTAATTTTCCCTGTGATACCTGTGAATAAATAGCTCTTTTCCTTTTTCAACAGAAAAAAGACGAGACCCACCAAATGGTAAGCTTTTTGCATGAATCACTATTTGTTTTTTCCTACTGTTTATGTATAGCTTTGTTTTAGACTTACTGAGGATAGTCATGTGGTGGAAAAATCAGTGAACTCTTATTCTGGAGGCTAGTATATTTGTTTTGTTTCTGTTCTTTGGTATTTGTTTATTTGTAGCTTGAAAGATGTGTGGCTTAGCTGGCATTTGTAAGGAGTGTTTTTGGAGGAGCATGTTTTGTAGCAAATAGGACAGAGGCCCTTCAGCTTAAACTGAGAAGAAAACTTTGTACCTTGCCTTGGCTGCTTGGTCTTCAGAATATGCTTATATAGGATCACTATACAAGAATGAATGCTGAAATTAAAAGGTAGCCTATTTGAAAGCAGGCATAATGGTGACAGATTTCATAAAACATCCATAAAATTTCAATTTCAGCATATCCAGCTAACAGTTGACTTAGCCTTTTGGTCATGTCGTGTTTGTCAATGTTAAACTTTTTTTTTGCATGAAAGGATTACTTGAATCTATTTGCCTCTCAGGAATACACCTCACTGGCATGAAGATACAGGTTCCTCAGGAGATCCTCTCATTAAATTGATGGAAGGAGTCAAAACTATGTATCAATTTGATCCAAAAAAATTCTATTCTAAAATCAAGTGAAAAATGCACATCAATGAACATCAAGTGTGGAGTCTTTGTAGTTCTGAATTCACACCGAAGTTAAAAAGTGATTTCTCCTGCGATACTCCTGTTGGTGATCCAGATCATAGGTCATATCACTGTATCTGTTTGTTAGTTTGCTGCTTGAGCAAGGGTATAGTCAACTGATCATCTGAGATCCCCCTATGGCCTAGGGAGCTAGTCTTAAATTTGTACTAAGAAAGACATCCAAACATCTCGGTAGGTCACCAAAATAGGTAATCCTTAACTACTACTGAATTATAGGAACTACTGATATCTTCTATATCCATGTACACCCCCGTGTGGAATACTTCTCAAAAAAAATTACTCCTTTTTTCATAACCATTTACGTTTCAAGGAAGTTCAGGCAATGACCAACTTAGACCAGGAACTTTTAGTACAGATTCCTTCAAGTGGGACTGGGTTGTTTTTAGTTTTCAAACAATCATAGTAATATCATCCATGATCATCTTACCAGCTCTTCTGAGCTTTCAGAAGGCTTTAACTGTTCTGCCTCTTGAGTGACATTTTCTTCTGCTCACCTAAACAGTGCATCCCTGATAGCAATATCTGTAGAGCAGATGGGAAGCAAAACAGCAGTGGTGACTGTAATGCCACCTGACACAAGAATTAGCCTTTGTCGCTACTGTAAATGTTACCAACAGTAACACGAACAATTTGGTTGTCTAGTTTGCTATCTGTTATTGGAATAAGATTTAAGAAAACTAAACTTGCAGGTTTTACTAAAACTAAGCCTGCAAAAACTTTTGTGCTTAAAATAGTCTTCATAATTCATCCTGTAAGATCTCAGGCAACAACTTTTTTTTTTGTTTTTAGAAAAATACTTGCATACTAAACTTGCATTCATTGGTCCTATGCCTTTATCCGGAATATTCTGTGGAAGACATAGGTTTGTGACCAATGTTTCAGGTTTATAATCACTAGTCAAAGCTCTGAGCATCTCTGTTTTTTAGGAAACTGCTTTCTTGGGACATCCACGTACTCTTTCACAACCTGTCCATTATCCTTTTTTGATTCTGTCAAATTCTATAATGGCTGGCTTATCTGCTGGCAAAGAATTGTGTGGTCATGCCCTCTGTAGTCACAGGTGAGACGTGGTCATGTTATGGGTTATAGCCTCAGGTGGTTATACTCTATACAGACTCTGCATTTCACTATTTTGAAATCAGACTAGAGCAGATACATACTATCAGCATGTATCTGGAAAAAAAAAAGCCTGTTGTAGGATCATCTAGTTTTTGTTTTACTCACCGTATGCAGTGAAGTTCTATGGTGGGGAGAAAGGAAGGAACATTTGCTTTTTTGTACTGGATATCAATGCATAATTACCTTTAAAACTGAAAACCAAGAACAGTCACATTTCTGTACTCACATGATCCATGCCTGAAATACTGTGGGGAATTTTGTTTTAGTGGGGCTTGTTTGTCTGGATTTTCTGCATACATTGAAGCTGCATGGAAAAAGCACTCTGTCTTTTTGTGTGACGTTTTCAATGGTACGGATTTAAGATTTTTTTTTTTTGTAGAATTGCAGGATTAAAATCAAATTGCATTAACAGTTATGTAAAATGTATTAGTCTGTAATTTCCTGGGATTTATGTTCTACTCATCTGCAATAGCTAGGTTATGCAAATAAAGAAGAGTTATTGTGGTTGAACTGACCTTTTAGTGAAGTTCTGGATGAAATAAAGATTCCCCCAAAACCTAATTCTCTGACAAATCCTTAAGAACCATGTGACAGAACTTTGTTTCAGATGTTAACCAGAACAGTTTGCATTTATTGCAGGGCTGTCTGTAGTCTGGGACAGATGCCTGGAGAGGTTCTAAATAAAATATAAAGAATTTCATAGAATTAACATTTCGAAATGTTCTGTACTACGTTTTCTGGAGCCCCTTCTGAAGATGTCACAAATATTGAGAACAGTGGATGCTTAAAGCCACTGTACTGTCAGGTACTTCCTAACGATGAGCTCTATATGCCTCTCTCATCTTCATTTATTGAGCTGTCTACACCTGATGGGGAAGGTGCATGTCTTATGATGGGAAAAATTTTACTGGATATAAATATGGCAGTTCTAGAAGAGTACAGTTCTTTCCAAGGTTCTTTTATCCCTCGTGGACATCTAAGGTCTAAATCTGACGGTAAGAAAAAATTTCATCTTTAAGAGTTTACTATGATGTTTGGTATGAATATTATTAGTATCAAGGAATTAGTATCAGGCTGTCAGTCCTTAGTTTCAGCTCAGCTGAATAAAACTTAAGTTTGCAAATGGCTGCTGCTTTACATGGTTAAAATCATGTATGGTTACTTTAGGTTTTTATATGCAAAAAGGTGTAATTTCAAAGACTTAGGAATTGTGAGAAGAATATCAAGAACTTCCTAGAAGTGCTAGGGTACATGTTTCTTTTTGAACTTCAGTTCAGCTTTTGAAACTACAAATATCACGGAAATGGTGAGAAAATATAATAGGTGATTAAAATGAAAATGAACTCCTACAGTATTTTGGGTTTGTTTTTTAATCTAATGAAATTAAGACTGTAACTTTCAATTAATCTCGAAGATTTACTTAACTCCACTTGTTAAGTTTTGGGTTGATAATATTTGTCAATTAGTGAATTAATGCTGACTTCAAGTGTAACTTTAACAGTGCAAATTGTTTTGCTTGGTTGTATGTGGTCAATTTGTTTTTCGGTGTTCTCAAAGGACAGTTGTCTAGCATTTGTCATAGCATTTGTAGATCAAAGCATTTCTGCTTAGCAGAAAACACTTTAGGAATTCTTCCTGCAGTTTCAATGCAGTTTTAAATCTTGTCCTTTAAGACTCCTACAGGAACGTAGGAGTTTGTCATGTGGTTTTAGATGAGTTTTGTCTAGCGCAGTGTCGTGTTTCTGTTCTTGTTTCTTGTTCTGGCCAGTACTAGGTGCTTCCCCTGAGGTGTTGAACTCCAAATGTCGGCTATGTTATCTACTGTATTGTCTCCTTCTCCTTCTGATTTGGACTTTGGACTGTGAAACCTAAGGCTTGTTGGTCCTTTCAGAATGTTTAGGAGAACATTGAATTATCCATACGAAATGCAGTTATGAAAAAATAATGTCAGAATAAGGTTCGGATTTATCAAAGTCTCAACTAGATATTTTTATCATCTGCCCAGTAAGACTGGATGCATGAGTCTTTTTTAATTGATTTGCTAACGATTGGGTAGTAACTCACAGCAGAGTGGAGGATGCTTTTCAAACCATTTCTGGCCAAACTGGTCTTAAATCAACTGTTTAGCTTCAGTTATGGAAGAATGAGATCACTTACCCTTTTTGCACGTTTCTTTAAAGACACGCATATATGTCTTGTGTGTGTGTGTGTGTATATGAAAAATGCATAAACTGCTTATTACTATCACTTACTTAGGTCAAGGGTTATCTACTGTCAAAACTGAAAAACTGAATGGAAAACATGCTAGGTGTGTTTATTTGCTGGTATTATGCAAATAATATAATACTAAAATGCTAATATTGGCAGGAGTGTAATTCAGATACATTTTAAATGATGAGAGCAGTGGCTCAGAATTGTTTATACTGAAGAACAAGTTTTGAGAACATAATTCGTAATTTGAGTGTTTAATTTCTGTTTCTGGTGCTGTTTTCACTGTCACTGCTCTTCAAGCTTTGTTTCTTAACTGGGACTTTTTATTTATTTTGCAAATCTGTCAAAGAGTAAGAAATACGAAATCCTGACTAGTTTCATAGATACTGTCATATATTTGAAGACAATAGTGTGTCCAGAGCGACCTTCTGAATTTGTGATATTCTAGTTTTGTGTCTGATGGCAGAAAGCATTCCCACTTGGGGCTTATTAAGCGAAGGTTCCCTCCCTTTAAGATAAGTTCAGTGTGCTGCTAAGGTAATGGCATGCTGGGTGTTACTGTTTATGGCACTCACTTCTTTAATCTTGTCTAAGACTGTGACTATGCTGTACCCTTAATATGTCTCTTTCTGTGTGTTCTGTGCACTTGAAAGCTCTTTAGTGTAGAATTACTTTGCCAAATTTGCAAAAATCACATTCTAGTTTATAAAATTTTTCTGCCATTGTTTTGTTCTAGCAGCACGGGGAGGGGGGGAAGGGGGGTTCTTCAGCAAATAAATTAGTTTCTGACATCCAGAATCCAGCCAGATGCATGTGGTATGTAGAACTATGGCTACAGTAAAAGTACTTTGCCACTCAAAAAGAAAAAAAATAGTTTGCAGATTAAATATGTCTTTGTTGAAACACATCGGTAAAAAACCTGTACTTTACCTTCACAGGCCCAAATCTACCAATGGCAACTGTTGATATCAAAAACCCAGAAATTACGACTAACAGATTTTATACGCCACAAGTCAACAATATTTCGTATACCAAAGAAAAGAAGAAAGGAAAAACTAAAAAGAGAAGATTGACAAAGGCAGATATTGGAACGCCATCTAACTTCCAGTAAGGACTTTGTGTGGCTTTTTGGTTGGTTTTTTTTGGTGTGTGTGTCAATTACACTTGCAAATGCTCAAGACTTAAATGTGTAACTGTTGTGTGTAGCCTGAACTACAGTGAATGCTAGCTGGAATGTTGCAGGGTTTAAAAGCAAGTTAGTTTATACACAGGTGAGGAGTCTACTGCAGCTGTAAACAAAAAGTAACTTGCTGTCCTAAAATAGTTTAGAAAACAATTTAACTGCATAAAAATGTCTTATTAAAGTGGTCAGCTCAGTGAAGACTCATATTTAGCTGCAATGGTCAATCTTTTAACACTGTTACTCTTACAGCTGTGCCTGCTTAGCTGTGCTTTGTCATGCAAAATACACATGCGGGTCCTGACTTGTAATAGCAGCAGAAATGACGTAGACATATTTTTATCTCTGGCATTCTGTTTACAAACTTACCTATTATGGTATATGGGCTAGTACCCAGGTCTTGTGATGAAAGTACATGTGCATGTGTGCACCTCTTGGGAATGGGTTGGGTTTTTCCTAATACTTAACGTATTTTCAATCTTTTAGAATAGTTATGATGTATCATTTTAAGCTTCACTTTCCTGAAACTTGTGTTTGGTCAGTTTACTGAATTAGCTATTGTTTTGCTGAACTATAATTTGGTATTTAAATCTTCTGCCTCTTAAAATAAGTGTACTTTTATTTGCTAAAGCAACAGGCATTTAAAGAGCTCGAGTTAGTTACTGAAAAGATCAGTTTCTGTGAAGTATTAGAAGACTAGTGTGAGGTTTACGTGCCAAGTGAATGTTCTTTTGAACCATTATATTGCATCACTTCCACTGACGTGCCTTCCCAGAATAAATTCCATAAAACTAATGCTGGTATTACCAGTTACAGTAATGTTACTGCACGGTATTTTGAGAGTGTGCTCTGTAAAATGGGATAGTGCACAGAAAGTAAAAGGAGAGGTGGGCTAAAATGCTTCCCTAACCAGACTGCACTTAGACAATTCAGACATCAACCACATTCACTGATGCTCAGATCAGAAAGAAGTGCTGCATCTAATAGCGTCACTTAAACAGAAAAGAAGGAAGAGTGAAAGAAAGAAAATTGAGTAATGGTTGGTAGCTGGTCACTGTTGTAGCTCTACTGATGGACGCTTCAGCATATGCAGACAAAATTGCAAATAATGATTTGCATTAATGTGTCTTCCTCTGACCAGAATTTGTGGAAGGGGTTGTGCAGCAGCGCAGATATAAAATGAATTTGAGACTTCTTTTATAATGTCTGTCAGGTTCTGACCATTGCAAAATGCTACATGCACTCATAAAATATTAAAGGAGACCTAGAGAATCTGAAAGCAAGATGATAAAATATTTAATGAAGTTCAAACAAAAGATATGTTCCTGTATCATTAAATGTAACGTTAAATTGTAAGTGGTGAACCTTTACAAAAGAAGATTGGAAGTCTGTTTTGTTCAGCTTAAGTTCTAGTTAAGTTTCCTGTAGAGTGCAGCTAAGTGTCATCTTACACAGTAAGATACTTTAATTGCTGGTTTTGTACAAACATATGGGAATGGATGTTTAGTATGGTTAGGCAAATATGCTAGTAGGATAACCTGTGTGTAACTTGAGCTGTGATACTGGTGAAGACCAACACTGTCACTGTTTGTTTATGCCGGATCAAAGTTGCAGTCAGTAGATACAATTTTTAAAATGCTTTCTGTTAGATGTGGACTTTCAGTGTTCTGAGAAGAAAAATAATCAAACTATACTTAACACTAATATAACTTACTGCTGTACACATTCTTTTAAATAACGTAAGAGTTGCAGTTACCTGGTAAGTATGCATTTTCATTGAAAAGACCTCTGAAAACAAAGTGGTACAGTCAATATGTACAAGTAACTTATTTTTCATACCTCACAGTAAAATGAGAAATAATGCTAACACTACTCCATATAAACTTTAATATCAATTAAGTACGCTAAGCTCTGAATCGTGTGCTCACAACCGCTTAAAAGAGCATCACGAATTGCACGGATATGCAGAGATATATGGGTAAGATTGTATTTGCTGGTAAACTTCAGTCGACCTCCATATGCCAGTTAATATGATACAATTGGATGTGAGACTATGTATTAGGAAATGTGTATCTAATTTATGTGAAGCAACCTGTAGCTTAACATCCAGAATTCTGTAATCAATAAATCATCCTATATTTTGGTAGTGAAAGACATTTAAATATTTACACAAGAGGGCTTCCGTTTTTTCCCTTTTCTGTTGCATAATGTCATTTTTAAACCAGATTTTTTACTTCTTGCCCCTCAAATTAAGTAGTTAACTAATCATAATTATACCAAGACCAAAATGGATCATCGAGCTTCAGTAATCTCATTAAGAAAATTTGTGCTGTTAGTGATACTAACAGATCCAAGCAAGAATACAAGGTCTGTTGCGCTAGGCTAGGCACTGTATAAGGACAGCGAAACAGTCCTTGTAATTTGACAAGCTTAGTCTAGACCATGTTTGCTACTAACAGCTCACATGGTATTTTTAAAAGGCTGAATTGGACTTCCTGAAGACTGTGTTGTGTTTCTAGAACTGGCCACTGGCAAAAAGAAGCCCAAAACGTGGAGTGCTGATAACACGATGGTTCTATCTTCTATAGCCAACAGTAGTTGCATGAAGTAGCTTGGAGGGGTGCAAACTCCTCTGCCTTTTTAGCTGATTGTAGCATCATGTAAAATAATACTTTCATAGCCACATGAAATGGCTACTAGAAGCCTAGGAAGATGGCAACTGAAAACAGTCCTGACTTTTCTCCAAAAGAAGGAGGTGAATGGGATAAGGGTGATGAGAGGACTAAAGGCGATGGTTAGGGAGGAGGAGGTTTTCCAGTTGCATGACATGCAAGACCTTGGAAGTAGCTTGAAGTCCTGTTACTATATAAAGGCCAACCTCCTCCCTTGATCTCTGTGCAGTCTGTCCATCACCATCCATATGTGTCACAGGGTGGCATGGAGCCTTCATGTTTTGCCACAGACCATAACCTAAGGGGGGAAAATAACTTCTCCACTTGGTCTTTTTGACACAAGACAAAAAGTGAGAGTTTTGCTATTACGTCCTCAAGTGGGGCACTGAGAAATAAGAATTGCTTAGTGTCTTATAAGCCTGGAGGTAGAAGCTGGTAGTAATCTCTAGTTATCTTGGTGTCCTGTTATTTTAGTTAATAAGGTCCTTTTTATGCTGATTAAATAGATTTTTTTGCTTTTTTAGACACATTGGACATGTTGGTTGGGATCCGAACACAGGTTTTGATGTAAGTAATTTAATGTTATTCAAGACACTGAATAATTAAAAGCTTTAGAGACATTAAATAAACTTAACTGTACATCAAAATAGTTATAAACTGTGATTTTATTATACGATTCAAACAGAGAGATGTTGGAGTAGAAGGGAATAGGAGAGATCTGGGATTGAGGGGAAAACATGCAAAACTTAAGTTTTTGTGCAAGGTACTTACCTCTCCTAAAATAGTCCTTTCTGACAGAAAGTCAGCCCAGAGACATGTCCTTGGCTTTGATGTTCCTTTTAACTACATGGTTTGTGGGTTTTGTTGTGTGTCCCCCTACAAATACTTTAAAAAATTCTTCTACTTCAAGTTACTTAAAACTAATGTATCTGACTTGCAGGTGAACAACTTAGACCCAGAACTGAAAAACCTGTTTGATCTGTGTGGAATTTCGGAGGCTCAACTAAAAGACAAAGAAACTTCAAAGGTCATATATGATTTCATTGAAAAAACAGGAGGTGTGGAAGCTGTTAAAAATGAACTGCGCAGACAAGGTGGGATTCCTTTTATTTCCATGTAAAAATTAGAGGGTGTTTTTTGCCTTAAGAATTAGAATAGAAGCTGTTCATGATGAGCAATTTTTTATTCTCTTCTATGGACTTCATGTCACTGCAGTTCCATTGGATTTCATAACCTTTCTGTATATCATACGCTCTGTAAAAATATTCATGCATGACCTGTGAGAGTTCCCTAACAAATAAGGATCTTATCTGTGTCAGTTAAGCAATTTCCTGTGACACTTAGTCTGACGGTAAAGCTATGTGGTATATTCCTTATAGATTTTTCAGATTGTGTATGTTCCGTATTCATTTCATCATCTTAACCTTACAAATAAATTAAAATAAAAAAGAAGAAAAGGCTTTTTCTAATTTAAAGTAAAAAGTACTAGTTTTGAGCAGGCTTCTGCTGCAGGAAAATTCTCAAATAAGCCATTTCCTGCCTAATGTTTAAATGTGATCTCAGCTGATGCATTATCTAGTTGAACATAGCAAGTGGGTCCGAAAATTACACTGCTAACTTTCAAAAATTTGCCTAGAACACTTCTCCAGAGGAATAGGATATAAATGCCTTTGAAAATATAGCAGTTTGAAACTGGTGAATAAATTGTTCGAGTGACTGAAGAGGTACAGAATCAGAGTACAGTGACTTGTTACATTTATTCCTTTAGGTCCCCCGCGATGGAGTGGTATGTATTTGAGCTGGCATCTGAGCATATGCTTCAAAGTATTCATGCTGCTGTGTGATGTCTTTCCTAGATGAAAAACTTCAGTCCACATCTGTTTGACTGCAATACTAAAAAATATAGTCAAACTTCTTTGTTAAATTGCAAGCAACATTTCAGTATGATTTTTTTTTTTCAGTAAGAAATCTGTCGGTTTCTTTATATAATCTTAACTCTGTTTAAATGTTTACAGAGTTGTTGATCCCAGACTGCTGACCATAAAATTGGAATGAGAAGATTTGTCTTCGAGTCTTAGGACTAGCTTAAAATACTTTAAAAATGCCTATTTTTCTATTACGTATGTGCTAACTTCAAGTTACGGCCACTTGCATGTATGCAATTGAAAGAAAAGCTGCCATATCTTTAACATGCATGATAATAATCTACCTTTGTGCTTTTTGATAGAGGTACACAAAATATTCTAGTGGGTTTATCCGCAATTATGTTATTTGATGTGTAGTCTTGACTGCTGTTTGAAGTGTTTTTTCTGAACTGAAACACATTTTTCTGTATTTTATTGCAAGAATTTCTGTGCTTATATGTTCACTCTGCTAGGATGCTGAGTTGCAGCCACATTGTTCTGCTCAGATGGAAGTTAACTTGCTTGTTTTTCCTGCCCTTTCCCTAGTTTTGGTACTGTTGATTGTTTGGGTTTTTCTAGCAACAATACCATCAATAAAAGATTTTACACACTTATTTTTTTTTTTACAGCCATGTTCAGATTAATGTGCATTTATAAAAAACTAAATTATTTTCTTGCTTTGCTTGTACCATCTGTCTAAGGGGGAAGAGAGAGGGGATGAGGTAATGGTGCTCCCTCCTTGCTCCTCCTCCCTCATTTCACTCCAGTTGAGTGCAGACAAGCCTTATAAAAACTCCTGAACAATATTTCCGCAGATTGGATGTGGCATATCTCTCTATATACATGCAAATAAAACCTTTCCCCACAGGAGGACCTAAACCTTATGTTCAACACCTACAGACACTACCAACTCTGGAGCATGACCATGTTCTATATCTTTTCAGTAACACAGAAAAAGTCTATAGTGCTTGCCGAGTAAGTTATATTTGAAAATACTGGCCTCCAGTGGCCAAAAAGGAAAGTATGGTCATGTCAGCCAAAAAGTGGTGTTTTTTTCTTAAAATCAAGAATGTTGTCAGTATGCCTCTTGCAAAATACATGAAGTTTGAGATGAGATCCTCCCCATGTTATTCTTTTGAAGGGATGAAAAAAACAGAGCAATTTCTGGAACTTAAGAATATAGCTTGTAATTTCAGGAGGGTTATGTTTCTCTAAGATGATCAGGATAGGAGGCACTGAGGCATTAGTGTCTCCTACTTCCTCAAAATCCCTTGTTTAGGGATGTCTCTTCTCTGTTCCAATGCAAACAGTCTACTTTCTCAGCATGTAACAGGAAGGGGATAATTGAAGGGGTAAACAAGTATCTTCTTGAGTGTAATACCCTTTTTGTTATCAAAGCATATGAATCAAATGTGAATTTTTGAAGTTGTATGATGGCACCTGGATTATTAAGTAGTTACGTGCAACAACCACACGACCTAAAGTGCCATAAGCCATTAGATGCTTAACGGAAGAGGAAATGAAATAGAGCTATTTAAAATGCCATTAGCAGAGCAAGTACATTTCAAGGCCATTTCATACAGAAATGATCCTGGGCATTGAGGTAGCCCTGAAGTTGTTTCCTTTCTACAGTCCCTTCCATAAAGATATTGTTGGAACTAATTTTCCATAAAAGGGACTAAGAACCAGTTTATGCTGCATCGTAATGCGTTAGTAGTTTCTTTGTTACTAGCAAGTGATGCTTCAAAAAATACTAGACTCTTTAATTCCCTAATATAATAATGGATAGATTATAAAGTGGAAATTCTGTATTTCACTTTAAGTGTATTTTCTAAAACCTCTTTCTCTTGCCTTCTGTCCTAGCTCAACAAAACTTGAGAGGATTCCTTTGAAATTTTTCTGTGTTTTGTCATGAGAAATTGAAACACAAACTTAAGATACACTTAGATTATGAAGAAAATTACTACCATAGAACCAAACCAAAATTAATGACCAAGCTTGTTTTGTGTCTTTAATTGGTCTTTTTATGTATTGTATTTGCTTCCTGCAGCGTTGATTCTTTTACAAAATACACAATACACATAGGGGCTATATTCAGCTTGGTTTGCATTCATATAAACATAGCTTGTCTTCAGCTATATTTAACTTAATCCAGAATTGTCAAAATTTGCATAGGCACAGAGATCCTTGCAAAAGGCAAGGCAAAGCCTTTTTTCTTTTTCTGATAGTCTCTGAAAGACGTAGGGATGTTGAGTAGCATGTAATTGTAAATTGTTTTGTTTCATTTCAGCGCCACCTCCACCACCACCGTGCAGAGGAGGACCCCCTCCACCTCCACCACCACCTCCCCATAGCTCGGGTCCTCCTCCTCCCCCTGCTAGGGGCCGAGGGGCACCACCTCCACCTCCTTCAAGAGCTCCCACAGCAGCACCTCCACCCCCGCCTCCATCTAGACCTGGTGCCACAGTGCCCCCACCTCCTCCAAACAGGATGTATCCCCCACCACCACCAGTGCATTCATCATCTGCACCATCTGGCCCTCCACCACCACCACCACCACCAGCAAGTGGGTCATCTGTTCCTCCACCGCCGCCTCCTCCTCCACCTCCTCCTGGTCCTCCTCCACCACCAGGCCTTCCTTCAGAGGTTGATCACCAGCTTCCAGTTCCTGCAGGAAACAAAGCAGCACTCTTGGATCAAATCAGAGAAGGAGCTCAGTTAAAAAAAGTAGAACAGAACAGTCGACCAGTGTCCTGCTCAGGAAGAGATGCACTGTTAGACCAGATACGACAGGGTATACAGCTGAAATCAGTGAGTAAAAGCTGTTTCTTACCTATGTCCCCTTGGGACTTGCAAATGGCTGCAGTATTGCAGTGTGACCAGTAACTTGTGTCTCTGTTTTGGGCTGAAACATAAATTGTAGAGTTTGTGAAGTGACGCTTTAAACAGTAGTACTGAGAAAATGCTTAGAACGCATATTTGCTATAGATGAGTATTGGTGCATGTAATTATCCTTGTTTCTAACTCATTTCTCACTTTTCAGTAAAGCTTTAAGCATAAATCCTGCACTGATGATACCACAGTATCATGGCTTTAAAGACTTTTTCAAGAACTATGAGAGATTGCTGGTCTCCTGAATACTTCAGTAAAATCATCTAAACAACTGCAGGGGATAAGTTCAGCAGCAATGGTAGTGGAAGGCAAACACTAGATTTTCTTTTCCTCCCATCTTAAAATGTGTTCTGCAAATGTTGAGACTTGTAAGAAGGTGGCTGTCTGTGTCTGGAAAAGTGCTGCCTGTGAGGGATGCCTCTGCTGTTCCTGCTGCAGCTCAGCCTGTTACTATTTCTTCTTGATGTCACTGAATAGCTTCAAAACAATTCTGCCTGTAGGTACTCTTCCACCCCACCCCCCTTTTGCACTTGAGGATTCTGATGTAAAAAGTGTGAGGGCATGTTAATATTTATTTGCCATTACAGGTATGCAGTATCAAAGTCTATTACTTTCAGAAGGGATTATCAACCCAAAGCAGACCTGGTTAACAAACCCAGAATCACAGAATCATTAAGGTTAGAAAAGACCTTTACGATCAAGTCCAATCAGCAACCCAACACTACCATATACCAAGGGTAAAATAAATAATGATTTTGCAGCCACACAACTCATGCCTGTACAACTATATTCAGAAGCTTTCCTTTAACTGAGTGCTCACTTCATGATAGTCAGAGCTGAAATATTTAATCTTGAGTATATGGACTAACTACAGTTGTGTGATATGGCAGAAGAGAAAAGATTGACTTTTTTTATAAATAAAAACTTAGCTTGAGCTAAAGAAACAACCTGCAGTTTCAAATCTTCATTCTGGCTGAGAATAAACTCATTATTCTTGTAAGGAAGTTTGTCTCAAAATACACAGGTTCTGTTTTGCTAACTGCATCTTTCTAATGTATTCTTTTTTCCCAAGGTATCTGATGGTCAGGAGAGTGCACCGCCTACACCTGCACCCACCTCAGGAATTGTGGGTGCGTTAATGGAAGTTATGCAGAAAAGGAGCAAAGCCATTCATTCTTCAGGTCAGTCTGATGGAACTTCTCTGACCTCACGGTATCAGTTTTTCAAGAGTTAACACTTCTGTTCAGCCTAAAATACTGTTGGAAAAAAGCATGGGTTTTAGCATATAGTCCAATACAGAATGCTCTAGGCAGACCCTAGGGGATGGATGGAATGGTTACATCGTGCTACTTTGAATTACTGGTCTGTAGCAGTTTGCAGTAATACTGAATTAAAAATTACTAATCATCGTTAGTATCCTTATAAAGTTGTTTGGTTGTTTGTTGTTGTTTTTTTTTTTGTTTTTTTTTTTTTACAGATGACTTATTTTTATCCACTAGATGTCTGATGAAATAACTTGTCAAAATATTTTGGAAGGAAGTTTTTTCATGCTTTCTGTTTCTAGAAACCAAAGCGCTTGCAGAGATTAATGCGCTTAAAACTGTGGCTCCAGTGTGCTTTGGATGCCACCTACTGGTTAATAATCAGATAACTAGTGTTACTTGACTAGTCCCATACTAGTACTGAATCAACTTCAGTGCTTAGCAAAAATAAGGCTGCGAGAGGATTTGCATTTCTCAAATACTGGCTTGTAATAAACAGTAGCTGCAGAGCACCTGTTTGGTTACATCTCTCTTGTTTAGGCTTTGATATATTTTTCTTCCAGAGTTTGCCTTCATACCAAAACTGCACTTGCAGTCTGCAGACCGTTTGACTAAGTGCAGTATAGTTTGTTGGTTTGCTGTATTACTATGTAGTAATCTCCAGTTTTGGTGCTTTATAGAAATTAAATACCGGAAAGGTGCTAAATACAGTGTTTTTCTATGGAAGGAAATGCTCTTGCCTAGCAAATAGGTAGTTTATTTTTAACAGGCTACAATTTTTAAGTTAGGGTACATGTAGAAATAGTGGAAGGCTGAATAAAGTTAACAACAAACATGAAGTTGATGTGCATTACAGAGCTTAGAATATTCCAGTAACCACAACAGACTTTAGCTGACAAAAATTTTTTTATCTGCTTGTACAGTAAATAGAAACCCTGTTATGTAGTAAACCTGGGGAAGCAGTTCTTAACGTTTCAGAAATTAATCTGTCCTTGAAGTTTAAAACCCAATCTGGAACAAACTGGCCACTCTCACATTCTCTAAGAAAGAGTAACAAGTAGTAAGTGTTAAATGAGAACTTCTGATTTTTTTTTTTTTTTTTTGCATAGCAGAAGACTACATACACTTTTCCTACCTGGGGAAAGGAGTGAGAAAGATACGGACTGAAAATTAAATCTAATTTGTTTCCTATCTAAACTGAATGTCATGCCTAGAAATCTTAAAATAGAGTATTGCCAAATGTATTGTAATGACCTCCTTGAACTGATTGTTTTGTTTTCAGAAAGTTGTGGGAGAAATCAGTAACAACTTTGTTATGTGAATTCAGTGAATGCAAGTGACTTGCCTTTTTTTGTCTTACAGATGAAGATGAGGATGAAGATGATGAAGAAGACTTTGAGGATGATGACGAATGGGATGATTGATCGTATATTATTATATATATATTTTTTTTAAGGTGAATGATATACTAAACACTACTTTCTGTCTATGGATTCTGTAAAATTATCATGTAAATGTTCTACCAATTTGCTGTATATTTTTGTTGCCTTTTGCTTTTTTATTAATCTGTGCAATACCTCATTTAATCTGTAAAGGTTTGTCATAATCCTCTACAAAGCTACTCCCTGTTAATGTGTGCAAGTTTACACCTGGATGATCATGTACATGTGAATACTTTCCATTCCATCAATAAGGGAGTTTAAATGTAATGTGTGAGATTGACAAAAACCTTAATGTAATTTAGTTATAATGCAAGAAGGAAAACACTATTTTCATACCCTACTTTTTCTGTATCTAAATTTTCTTATTAAAACCTAGTATAGCACTATGTTCTTTAAGTGATGCAGCTCTTAGTTTATTTAGCCCCTTCATTTCAAATGCAATGCTACATGAATGTTGAGGCTGGTTTATACTATTGCATGGTTTCAAATACATCACAACATTGCAGTTCAAATCTTAGCAGTATGCTTTACATAAAACAAAATCACTACAGAAATGCACAGCTCGTTGTGAAGATTACTTTGCCCTAACTGTAGCAATACCGACTGCTATTGAACAGCAGTAGTAATTAAATCCTTCAATTAGGGAACTCTCTATCTGAAGTTAAACAGGGTGGCTTTACATTGTAGTAGTGGTAAAGGCAGCTTTGATGCAGGCAAGTTCAGTCTTTTTTTTTTTTTTTTTTTTTGGCCTTCCCACCAGCTTTTACTATCAGAATATGTAAAGGGGGCTATACTGGAGGCTGGCAATTGCTACAGTTTGATTTATTTTTAAAATCAATTTTATGTGGTTTTCAGGCTGAAGGGCTGCGTTTAATGCTTGCTTCAATAATGTTTAATTACTTTTAAAAATTTGTAGGACATTGGTGTATTAATAAAGTAAACATAAGTGGTATTACTTTGCAGTCTTTGCGTTATGGTACACAACAAATGCTGAAACACCAATCCTACATCCATAAAGTTGGAAAGCCATTAACTCAGAATATACGCTTTGAATAAGTACTGAACTTTATGGCAATATTCTGTCTTCATATGTTGGATTTAAGACCAAGGGTTGTGATGAAGGTCAAGAACCTGATTCACAAGAATAGTATTTGAATAAGTGGACAGAAAATGGGATTCTCATTTCACAGCTTGCGCATTTATAGAAATTGTACTTTGTAGTGCAGTAAACATTGGCATATCTGCCTATTACAAAATACTAATCTATGCTATGTGGGTATTTAATATCTGCAGCATTAATTACTGTACTTACTGTAACTTTCAGGTAGAAAATCTTTTTAAAAACCACATTATCTGACACAGAATGTTTAGTTAAGTCAGTCATATTTGAAGCGTAGTTAATGCATAGTGTCCTGGGTCTTTGACTGTAGTCAAGCTATCAAACTAAATTTAAGTTATCGGAATTGTATTGACTGAAACCCAGTGTTGACCTGATCTTGACAGGCTGGACCTGCATGATACGGCTTGGATTTCTAGCACAGTTATAACCTAGTCTTTAGTGAATTAATTTAGTCATATGAGAAGAAAGGAAAGTTGCTTGAAAAGTAGTGGGAGAGGTAAGGTTGTAGTTAAATTATTCAGAGGATGCTAACTTCCTTCCAAGAGTAATTTAAGCACATAACTTGAGGAACAAAATTTCCAAGTGGTCTCACTTTCTTGCGGTAACTTTTGCATTGTCCTCTGCTGCTGGAAACACTTCCTGCTAGCTTTGCTGCTGTAATGGCTTGAGCGTTGGATCAAGTGCAAGTGCAGCCTGGGGTAGCTAATGGCAGTGGAGTTAAGAACTTGTGTATATGGAAAATATTTGTATGGCTTTCATATAACTTCTGGCACTGCTCCCTTATTTTTTATTGCATATAGGGCATTTTAAAATTAAGTGGATGAGGCCCATAGGTTTTTCTAACATGCTACTTACTAGATATGTTTAGCTGTTATGTTCTCAGAATTGGAATTTATGTAATATAGTTAATAATTAAGCATCACAGTTCATTAATCAAACTCCTATTCCAGGTTTTGGGAGCATTGAAGTTACCTTATCGAATAAAACTTTGATTTATAGATACTGGCCAAAGAAAGCTTTTGGGTTTTCCATTTCTTTTTTTTCATACAAAAAGTACACTCACATTCTGTGGTGTCCAGGTTAATATTTACTTTAAAGTAGTGTTTGTACATGATAAATTTCAGACATAAAGACTGCAGTGGCAGTTAAGTTAGTCATAACTGCATGCTTTAGCACTCCACCACTTGCACTATGAGCAGAAGATAGCATTTCATGATACTGGTGCATTGTTGCTAAACATTGTAATGAAGGCCTCTCATATATTCTGGTTAAATGACTGTCCAGATAGCCTTAGCAATTAACGAAGTAGCATGAGGCTTTTGTATCTCAACACTCTATGTGCATAGACAATATCAGCTAGCCACTTGTACGTATGAAATCCGTAAGAACTTCTCAATCATTCAGTTTTCCATTTATCGAACTGAAATTTTTAGTATGTGAATTTTTGAAATGTACAGTGAATAGGATGTTGCACTGGTGGCAATTCATCGTGGAGCATAATAAAATTAATTTGACCCAACTAGTGTAAAACTGTGTGGTTTTTAAGTGCTAATTGTGGCACAGCTTTTAAAATAGATCTGCATATCAATTACATTCTTTAAAAAGTAACTTTGGTCGCCTAGCCAAGTTCACAAAGCAGTAAATAGCCACTGTCAAATCGCAGCAGTTTTCCTGTCTCTGGAAAGTTGGATTGTGCTGATGAATAAACACAATGAGTAAGAATGTGACACCCTGTCCTCCTGGCAGATCTCAGCAGCTTCTCTGGAAACAGCTACTGCTGCAGGCAAGTGCAATAATCCAGCAACAGTTCAAGGTCAAACAAACATGGCTTCATTAATGAACACTCTAGAAAGAGTACTAAATAGTTAACTCTTGTCAAGGAATGCTCTAACTTAGGAGGTTTTTACAGATGTAAATCTTTGCCTTGCATGTTGTAACGTTTGAGCTCAGGACACTTCAGAAGTCTGCGTTCCTCCTCTAAAGCAGCTGAAGAGTCCAGCACTTCAGATTTTTATCTGGTGTACGCTTTCTTTTGAAGTTTAGTACTTCTATGATTTTTAGGCCTTAAGTGCCAGGCAAAGTTGAAATTGTTACTACAGGGTGTGCTGTGGAATATAATTATTTCCTCTCCACTTAGTAAACAGAAGCTTAAAACATGCTTTTGAAAAGAGGCTTTTCTTACCACTGTCAACTAAAAAAATGGATACTTCCCAAGGAAGATGTATGTAAAGAGGAAGAAGGAGGAAAGATCCTTTTGTTTTTGTTTCAGACTGTTACCAATCCATTGCCACAGCCTTTATCTAATCATTAGAGGAATTCCTGGTCTAATTAAAGTTCCTGAAGCTTAAGTCCAGTGATAAGCAGCTTTATTTATAGAAAAGTGAAAATGGTTTAGGGAAGCTTAGAAGATACTAAACCTCTGTCTCTCAAAGGACCAGTGTTATCCCCTAGCACTGCAGTAAGGACTCCTGTTGCTATGTATTTGTTTACTGCCTGGAGTGTTCTTGTGTGTGAAAAGGCAAGGGTATGGTAGTGCAAACTAGAACGCAAGCTGTGGAGGTTTAATGTCCATGTTTAAGCCAGACACTTCTCTCTAAGGTAGAGTTCCAAAGTTTGAGGATGTTCATACAGTTGTGGAGGAGACTTTTTCTCTTTTTAATCACCAAACTGCTGTGGCACCTGTGCTATTTTGTGCTTTGAAAAATTAACCATGAGTTGTTTGAAATCACATGTCTGAAATTAATGCAGATACATGTTGAGAAGAGAAGTAGAATCATTGCATCAATATCAAAAGATAAATAATGAATTGTCTGGCAAATTTTATTTCATGCTGAATTTTATAGTATTTGCGGAGTAACCTAAAATGAACTAGAATAGTAATTTATCGGCTATTGAGATTTTTCTCTAATGTAGTTTTGGGTAATAAACGCAAAGAGTTACCCATCTATAAACAGCTTAAGACATACCTGGAACCATGAAGCTTGATATTTTACATTTATTGAGTTTTTTATTGGTACTGACAAACATACTTGAAGGCCTTTTTGCTAGTGCTCTAAAGAGTCTTTGGAGTGAATCTTGAGCCATTACTTCATGTGTGTGTGTTTTCCCTCCCTGAAGCTTAATCAATTAAGTAAAAAACAATTTTCTGAGTTTTGTTTCTCAAGCAGTATGAAATTTAAACTTGTTACTTGAGGATTAGATGAGGGGGTGCAAGGTTTTCTGAAGAAAACAAAACTTCAGAGAAGTTTTAAAAAAACAGAAGGAGTTTGGAAACAGCAATAACCAGCATTATATTTTTGTATGTGCCACTGGGGGGACACAATACGATCTGGAGTTTAAAGCTTAAGAAATAAAATAATGCTTGTATCATATATCAGACACAAAGTATTTGCTTAAATGACATTGTCAGGCACACAAAATCAGGAATCGGCTCTTCGGGGTGTTGATGCCAAAAAACAGGCCACTGCTGGAGCACTTGAGCTGGATTTGGAGCCCTTTGTTGGGAGATGGGGCTTTCCCAGATGCTCTGGATACGAGGAGCACAGCCTGACAAACTTGAGAAACCGGCATCCTTTTTTTCTTTTTTTTTTTTACTAGGCGCTACTATAGGATTTTTGTGGTTAGAATAGCCTTTTGGACCAGAAAAGTGCCTATTTCATCATCAAGGGAAGAAATGATCCTCAGCATATAGTCCTTTCTCAGGGTTATGCCTGTTCAACGGTCAGCAAAGAACCTGTCTTTATTTTTAAATTCAAAATGAAATGGAAAAAGCAGTCTAGACCCAGTTGACATAAACCACATTTTCTGCGGTTACCCTCCTGAGGGTACTGTGTGTAAGCATGAAAGGCAAGTGGCTAAAGCAGAAATCTACTAGGTAGTAGTATTCTTTTTCAATGACCTACATCAAGAATTGAGGGTTTTCACCTGAAGTAGCTTTAATATCCTAATCCTTAGAGAATACTGAAACTTCCTCGCTGTCCCCAAGACAGGTAAGAAAAAGATGAATTCTGAGGAGCGAGCGAGCCCCTCTGCTGTCCGTTGTGTTAAACAGTGCTCGGTCCTGTGTTCAGTGTGTTTGACCATGCTAATAGTCGGTTACCTGGTGCAAAAACAAATGGCAAGCTCTATGTGTCAAAGTTAGTGCCAAGAGCACGTGACGGGGAACATATGGATCATGGTATAGCTATCGGGTTTGGTTTTGAAACGGGGGATGCTATTGATTATGGGGTGATTCTCAGCACCCCATCCAGGTCCTATCTAGGTT